CCAGTTTCTTGTCTCTCACTGTTTCACCTCCCACCTCTCAGCTGTGTGCCCTTTCCCAGCTCCCTCTGCCAGCGGCTTTATCTTTCTCAGCCACCATTCCTAGCCTTTTTGGGGCCACTCAGATGTCTCAAAGGAAACAAAGAAAATACCCTAAGTGAAATTGGCCCATTTGGATGCTTTTCCTTCCCTCCTGTTCAATAATTCCCTTAAATTGTTAAATTTCTTTTATATCTTAAAAGCTTATGGAGAGTAGCTAGTGTATGGAATTAGTGTAATATACAGTGTCTCTACATAGTACTCAGTTCATGCCAGGCTTGATAGTATACTATTTCCTAGGGAAATGATAACGTTCCGTGACTTCTCTCTGCTCTCAGGAGCAACTGTAGTGATTATTTTGCTTCTAGAGAAAGGAAATAGTTGATGTGTTGAACCCCTCTGCTGTTTGGTGGATCTGTGTATGTTAAACACAAAAGCCTTAAAGAAGACTTGGGGGTAATTAAAAGGCAGATCCTAGGTTTCTTTTCCCTTCAGAATACATTAGAATTCTTAGGGAAGTTACTAAGTGTGAGGAGGAGGGGTGGGGCAGCTTTAGCTATAAGATTGGTCAGAGCACTATTCTTTAGCCTGTTAGAAATAGGAAGGAAATAAGACAATAGAATTTGTAATGACAGGTCTTTGTTTTCTGATTGTCTTTGCTGAATAGAAATCTACAACAATATACATGATTACTAACATATTTTAGTTCACACATGGTTAATTTTGCCTTTTTTGTAAAAGACTTGAGACTTGCATTTATGTAGGAGAGGCTGCTTAGTCTCACGTTGGGGTGGGGGATGATGTGGTGGAGAGGGAAATAGATTGCCGTGTATGTAGTTGCTGTGTGCCTGTTGTTGATCATCCTGTCTTTTAGTGTAGGAGGCAAGTGGGCCTTCCTGGCAGGATGGAGGCGTCAGAGCTGTCCGCACAGGAAGTCCTCCCTGAGTGCTGACAAGCACTCTTCCTGCTGGTGCCCACACCCACTCCTGCAGGGAGTGCGGAGGGGGTCTGGTAATACAGCCTCCCCATTTATTCACCATTTCTGTCAGTGTTGGCATACAAATTAAGCCCAGATAAATGTTATCATGAAAACTGAATTAGCTTGTTTCCCCTGCTCTTGGATGGACAGCCTGATAGGTAGCTTGTTTACCTGACCTGAAGCAGTGAAATTAGGCTAGAGAATGCTGAGATAGACTACTGGGCTCTTGTGGGTTGGATCAGCGCTTAGCTGACCACCCAGTTCCTTAATTAGGTTGAATTCCCGTAAATTAGCAAGCCCATCCAAGGGGTTGGGGGTGGGGGTGTCTTTTCAAATTCCAGAGCAGTTTAGGGATTTTGAGAGGCAAAATGTAAAAGGACAACCAGTAATGGGAATGGATATTTGGTAAAATATCGTCCCTTGGTAAGCTTCTTTTTTTTTTTTTTGAAGTTTACAGTTCGTGCTTTTGAGGCGCATAACTACAAAGTGTAAATGCTTTGAATTGATCAGCGTTCTGAAGTTGTAGTTAAAGACTTGTCAGTGATTGCATTTCAATCTGGGAGTGAGGGTTTCATTCTTGACAGAGTAAGTCGAGCTTTCCGAAAATGCTGACTCTGATGTTCAGCGGTAATATGCTGTAGCTTTCAAAAAAATTTTGCAGAAGTCTTTTGTTAATGAAAAGATTTATAAGGTAGAATTTAAAAAACTAACCTTTTTAAAGCTAACTTTGTTAAAAACACACACACACACACACACACAAGCCGACTGCTCATTAAATTAACTTGAAGGCACCTTTGACTTTCTTTCTTAAAAAATCATAGCTACCAATGTCACATTTCAGAGAAACTTGAATTTAATTATTGGGTTGCAAGAAGGATGGGCACAGAAAAATGAAATAATACAAATAGGACATTTAGGATGTAGACAGTGTGTGGGGTGCCTTTTAGAGTACCGTTTGAGGGCTCGGTTGTTGTGCAGCAGACCTGGGTTTGAATTGCAGCCCTGCTACCTACTAAATGTGTGACCTTGGCACATCACTTAATCTCTCTTGAGACTCAGTTTCCTAATGTGCAAAATGGGAGAACATTAACATATCTGCCTCACTGGGTTAAGTAGATTAATGCATATAAAGCCCTTGGCACAGTGTCCGGCACATATTAATCATGCGGTACGTGACAGTAATTATTACTCATGCTATTAAAATTATCATTAACCCATTCTGAATATTTTAGAGTAAACAGCTTTATTGTGTTTAAATTTTCTTGTGAATGTGTGTCCAGTATTTATCAGGATTAAATGTTTAATTTCAACAACTTCTAAATACTTAATCTTTGATCTGAAATTTTCTGTACCCCAAAATAAGAAGATGACAACCTAAAATAATTTAGTGCTTCTCTCTTTCAGGTATCTTTCTCTGTCTGCAGCTAGTTCTGGGAAATAGTTGATACTAGGGTAACATTTGAATTTGAACGTGTTCTATACAGGATTCACCAGAGGCCAGTCGTCCTCCTCAGGGTACATTCAGGAACCCCCTTCTCCCCGCTGGGATCGGAGTGCTGGAGATTTCTTTCCCCTTCAGGCAGACTAGAGGGGAAGTGGGGAGGAACAGGCTCCCCACCTCCTTCCCGAAGTGGGAAATATTACTGTAATAAATATGGAGGCTTGTCAAAGATATATTAAATCAGCTATGTAAATTCTGAGATGTAAATCATGGTTCTACTTCTGCCAAAAATAAATACATAAATAAAAACCTATTACTTTCATGTCCAAATAATCTCCAAATAAATCATACCCCCAAATGTTTCTTTTAATCATTTAAGTCCACGCCCGGCGCTTCACTTTGCTGCCCAGAGAAAAGCAGAGGTTGGAGCTGATGAAGACTTGGAATGCAGTCTTTAAAATGTCTGATGGTTCATCTGCTTCGTGTTGGTGTAATCCCACTGAGAGGTGGGGATGGACCTGATCCACAGCTTCTTCCAGACTTTTTCAAGTCTTATCCCGGGTGACCCTGTTTCATCCCCCAACAGCTGCACTGAACACACCGGGTCCCACTGTGAATAACAGTGTGGTTTGTGGCAAGGACAGGTTCTCGGACATTAATCAAAGGTGATTTAAGAAAAAATTCAGTCTTGCCTAGCTTTGTCTACAGCTACAAGTTCTTTGTGTAAATCAGAGGCTTGGGGCAGGGAGGCAAATGTACGTGTTACTTCCCAGTGTGTCTGTCCTTAACTGAAGTGAGAAATAGGGGATGCCTGGCTAATTTCAGGGAGCAACTAGCAGTTGTACTGAATGACTTTGGAGAAGGAACACAGGTGTTTGTATGGCATGGCTGGAGGCATGAGGTGCCACCTGTGGCAGAGCAAGGGACAGGACTTCGTCTTAGTTTTACATCTAAAAAGCAGAGTCTTTATCCCTTAGAGAAAAAACAGGGATGCGAAGAAAGGATATGAGTTCAACGGCTTACTAAGGGCATCAGTCAAATAGATTTGATAGGATGTGATCTCAGGCAGGTTTTATCTTGGATTAAGCAGCACTGATGTTCCCAGTTCAAGTTCAGCTTTCATTTACACACTGACTATTGTTAACCCTTCTGCTACTTTCCTTCTTAAAGAGAATCTCTTGAGATAAAGGGGTGTTTGGACTCAATGATGTTAGTAAGGACTCTGGGCAGTGAGAAGAAGAATCCGCATAGTATAGGGCATGAAGAAATGGTTACATGTCTAGATTAATGAGGATCCCAGTGTGTTGGGATACTGTGGAATCAGGATGGTCATGGCAGAAACTGGGTGCAGAGCCAGATATCTCTCGTGGATAGTTGAGATTACTGGCAAGCTAAGCAAGGTTACATTTATTGCAACGGGTTTGCTTTTTGAACATTCCAAAGTGGAATTTAATTGTGTCTTACATATGCCTAATTTTCTCGTTTGTGGTAGTAAAAAGCTGTAAGATTTGAAATTTTTGTTGAATGTTTAGTGACTATGTGATTTTATGTTTTCAAACTGTTAGTCAATGTAAGTGATATCCTTGGGTTAATATATTTATTATTTAGAAGATGTGAGGTGAAAAAATTCCTGTACTGGTGTGAAACTGCTGAGCATTTGCTGTGAGGACACTTCAGGGTGTCTGACTTCCATCTCAAACTGAACCGTTTGACTTCCTCAAAAGTCATGTGTGTGGCATAGGGACAGAGAACTGTGGTTTCTTTCGATTGGTTAACAGAATTGTCAGGTGTGAGTACAGTTTCAGACATTCTTCCTAAGTGGCTGCTGACTGTGAAACCACACTGAGCCCTGGGTTGCAGGCTTTACAAAAGTTGTGTTCGTTGCTGCAAGTCCTGAGAAAGTTTCCAACTACTACCGCATTCTCACAGGGGTTAAATTTCACAACCTTAGCCAGAGTGAAAGGCAGCATGCCATGAATCTTATCCAGATGTCTCAGTGAGGCTGTATGTCTGTCTTAGAACTAGGTGAAGTCTTCCTTATTTGAGCATCTTGATTGAATCCGAACTTTCTTACACTTGAAGAGTAATCTTTTTTCCCAAGAGTCATCTTAGTAAAATTATCAGCAATTTTCAGTGAAATGTTGTTTGGAATTTGAAAACTTTTTCAAAAGTTCTAGTGATTTCTAAATTATTGTATATTAAAATGATATTATCATATAACTTCATGCAAGTTAATTTTGAGTCTCAGTAGATGTGTTCCTTAAAATGTGTGAATAAATTAATCTTACGTAAATTTAGTCATATTTAAGGTATGCATAGAGAATATGCTTCTGAATAAAATCCTATTATTAATTCCATGTTGAAGGAGGGTTTTTTTGGTAGAATGAACAGATCTTTTTTAAGGTGTAAATTTTGTATTTATTAAAGTAGCTTAAGATCTGTATTTATATCTTGGTAACTTCATTTGATTTGGGAAATACAGCCTCTGAATGGTGCTGGATACGTCCGTCTAGCATCCTAACGCTCCCCATCTTGTTCTTCTAGCAGTCTCTGGTCCCAGCGCACCCCATGGCCCCTCCCAGCCCCAGCACCACCAGCAGTAATAACAACAGTAGCAGCAGTAGCAACTCAGGATGGGATCAGCTAAGCAAAACGAACCTCTATATCCGAGGACTGCCTCCCAACACCACAGACCAGGACCTGGTGAAGCTGTGTCAACCGTAAGTAGCAGTTGTTCTTGTTGTTTTTAGCTGCTGAATATTTCCTTGGTCATATTATGGAGTGATATAAATTATATTATAAGAGAGGTTTAATATAAGACAAGTCTGTGATTGCTCATTATCGACACAATGGCAGGGTTTCCAGGTTTTAAGTCCTAGGACACTTATTCAGTCAGCATTAACATCAACAGAATGCCTATAAAACAAAATAAACTGGAGCATTTTCTTAGTAGAATATGACTTTATTGGCATATAAGAAGTAAAATATGCATTATTTTAAAACATATGGCTGGATCCTTTGAGGTGTGCTTATTTTTTATAGAAGCATCTCTGGGGGCCAATGTTTCCCATAATAAGAAAAATGTTAGTTGTCATTGTTTTGTCAGAAAGGTAGTTACCATCTAACCTTATCCTAAATGTGTCAAACTCTTCATTCCAGCCAAACAATGGTAGTCTGTCTTCACTAGCACCCCTAGCTTTGTGGTCTGGGTTGTTCACCTCATCTCTTTGGGAATTCTTATTCTCCAAATTCCTATTCCTTTTCTCACTTCCACCCTTTCTGAGTCTTGTGAAGAAATGTGTGCATGTACATGAAATTCCAAAGTAAATTTGCATTATATGCTAAGGTTGTTGATGAATGGAATATAAATACGCTATTTTGCTGCAATTACATTACCTCCCTAAGTAAGAAATCACTAATTTAAACTAAGGAGCCAGAAGCACTGTGCCGTGCAAGGATCACTGTGTAAAAACGTAAAGCCTCTAATCACATTGAGCTGGAAAAGCCTGCACAGAGAACAGCATCTTTTATTTATCCAAAGACAATAATGGCCCCTTACAAAAGGAATTTTACGTAACTGTGGAAGAAGTTGTCCATGAGAGGATGTTTCCTATTCCCTGAAAAATTTTCCCATTTCTAAACCTCTGATTAATAGCATCTCATTTCTATTGTCTTGGTGAAGATACAGATTTATTACTTCTTATTTTAAGGAAAAAAAATTTTTTTAAACTAACTTGAGCAGTATTTCCAAACTGGAACTAAAAGTAGCATCTGGCCTTCTCTCAGGAGGTAGTGGTGGTTTTCTCTTGTTTTTAGAGAGGCTGGTGGGACAGTGGGTGGTGGTTCTTTAGGATCTGGAGAGCTTTCCGAAAGCCATCACTCTTAGCCCCTCCCTGTGCCTTTCCCTTTAGCCTTTACCACCCTTTTGATCAGCCCACGTGGATATTGACTGCAGCCATTTGCTTCCAGGGCAGTGAAATAATGTCTTGTGCTAGGGACTCCTCTGAACGCAAGTCCAGCTCTTGGGGTTTGTCACGCCTGTCCAGAGTCAGAGGGAACTCTGCCAGGTGCGCCCTGCCCTACTGCAGCTGTTCAAGACCGCAAATAGGCCTTTTGCTATCTTGTCTGCTGCTGGCCTTTGCTGGCGTCTTCTTATGCTTTTGCAGCATAATTACAGGTAGATAGAGTGCCATAAAGTCTAAGGAGCTAAAAATATAACTTTGTAGGAAACAAAAGAATGAAGCTAACTCTCAAATTCTTGAGGTATAAGAGAAGGGAAAAGGATTTCAAGAGACAAATTGTTCCTCAGCTAGTTTTGAGTCATGTAAGGTGAGTTTTAACATCAAGGGCATAGAGTTAAATAACCATAAAATAATAGAGTACTGCCACGTTTTATATACAGTAAAGATGTATTGAAAAATTAAGCCACCAGTTTTTTTGTTGAATCAAATCATATTCCAAATCTAGTAGAAGAGCATTTTATCATTTTTCCTAGAAAATTCATTTCTTTTTTGTTGTTGGTCTATTTGATGTATGTAGATTTTCTTAACGTGTGCAAACATCACTTTCTTTGCTATTATCAATAGCAGCAATAACCATTTGCCACTCTCACTCTTTCCTATCATTTGTAAAATTCCAGGTTTGATATTTAACTCTGATGATAGTTTTCTTGATATGTAGTATACAGGGGACTCTATTATACAATGCAATAGATTATAGAGGACTCTATGTCAATATCTACCGAAAGCTTCATTCCCTTTAACACAGAGCATCTAATAAGTACCAGATTTGACTTGCTGACAATTTTGTGTTTTAGAATGTAGAGAGAGCCAAAAAAGGGCATTCCTGTTCTGGACTTAATTGTTTCCAATAAAAAGTAGCTAGTTGGTGACTTCAAAGTGACAAGAAACTTATGGGAAAGTAACTCATCCTAGAGCTTAAAAAACCCAGTGGACGTAATTAGAGATTTTTTAGAAAAGTGAATATCAGAAACTTCTCAGAAAACATAGGTGTAAATTCATAGCTCTAAAAAAGACAACATGTTTTACAAATAAAAATTTAGCACTGTAATTACAGATTGACCTGATAGGGATGAAAATAATTTGGGTCTGTAGGGGGCTGGGATGTTTTAGAGGATTATCTAATAGAAAGATGAGAAGATACCTAAGAATGTTTATAATAGTGACTCAGTTCAAAACAAACAGTGCAGGAAGTCTAAAGACAAGAATGACATGAGGATTGTGAAAACTGGGGAGGAAAACAAAAAATATTTTTAAAAAGCTATGCTTGGAGCAGAATATACAGATCCTATAATGTTAGGAGAAATGACAGTGAAAAAGCAGATACTGTGATGACACGAGATGACAGTTAACAAGAGGTGACAGTGAAAAAGCAGCCTCACCCCAAGTCAGAGAGACTCGTGACACTGGAAAGTGTAGATCCACATGGTTAAGTTAAGAGGAAGGGGCCCAGCTGGAGGGCAGTCAATTTAGGTTACTGAGGGAGACAGCATCGAGGACCAGGCAGGGATGTGACCGTGGTCGTGGTGCTAAGGTGATATGGATTGAAAGTAGGTAAATTTTCTAGGAGTATTTAATGAAAGAAGCTGACCAGCTCTAGTTAACTTCTAATTTGTGAAATATGTATGAGAAATCTTGTTGGGACCTCATGACTACTCCTGGCTGCTGCAACTTTGCTCCCGATTTCTAAAAAGTTATCTACTCAGAAAGAGTACATCAGTACAGTTAACCAGCAAGTATAGGAAATGGAATGCTCTGGCTAACAGAAAGGATTACTCTATTACCCCTTGACCTTCATACATTCTTAATTCTCTCCCTTCTCTAAAATCATGCCAAAAAATACTTTGCTTGACGGTGTTACCATTTTATATCTCTCATTCAAACTTTTCAGTGAATTTTCTTGACAGACAAGTTGAGTACTCTTGTTGCTTCCATTTTCTTGCCCTCTTAACCCTTTGCATTTTGCCTTCAAGTTCTCAACTGAGACTGCGTGGGCATCTTCCATTTCCCTTATTTTCTCTGGCTTTTTTTCACTATCGACCACCTCTCCTCCTCAATTTTTGGCTCTTTTGATTTCAGTTTTCTTGGCTCATTCCTCTCTAGCCCCATCCTCTCATAGGGGGCTACATATTCTCCAATTTTCTATAGATTTTCCACACGAATATTTTATTAGCACCTCAAATTCAACATTATCTTTTTCCTCTCCAAACTGTCACTTTGCCAGGTTTACTCTCCTCCACTGGGAGCTTTGGAGCAGTCATGACTGTTTCCCGTTATCCTCTTAGTCACCGAGTCCTGTAGCTTCTTTGGCCTTTCTTCTTCCTTCTCACTGCCAGAAGAACTGGGTGGTTCCTCCCTCCCTCCCTACAGTGTGACAAGCAAGAACCATTTGTCCTGCTGCTGCCTCACCTCAGGTGCCTCCCCATTACCCTTTCTTGATTCTTCAAGGCCAAGGCCAAGCTCACTCTGCCTCGGTGATGCTGGGGCCACACTGAGCTCTCCTTATTTCTTTTTATGTGTCACCACCTCACAATAAGCGTCTTCTTTCCATACAGTTCTGTCCTCCAAGTGCCTGTTGCATTATCTAGCAGCATGTCTGTGACAGCATGTCATGCTGACAGTGCATCATCCTCACCAGTTTCTCACCTACAGTATAAAATAATGATGTTCAGCGTGGCAAGTTTTTGGTACCCCCGAGTTACCCACCACAGTGCTAGGCGAGGACCTAATTCTCAGTCAGTAGCCTGTAAAACAGGTCAAATATGCTTGTATCATGAGGTTGTGATTAGGATTAAATCAAGTAATCTAAGGAAAGGAGCTGGTCTGCTGCCTAGAAAACTGTTGCTATTGAGCAAATATTTATCTCCCCTGTGCCTGAGCCTTTGCTCCTCAGAATCTTAACTACTAGAATAAACTTAAATTATATGTAATCCTACATGTAAAACTAAGGAGAAAAAAAATACCAGATTCTGATTCTGAAAGCTGAGAAAGCCAGGGAAGTAGGTTATGTTAACATAACTGCCAGCCTCCTCCTCCTTGAGGCTTTTTTTTTGGTCACTTGCAAAAGACTAGTTTCAGCCGTGTGACCACCCCTGATATATTTCTTGTCATAATGATGACTAGTGCATGTAAAATCTTCCGTTGTGTCCAAGCCATCTTTTCTGAAGATTTAAAAACATTTGTATGCAAGATTTGGTTCATAGTTCTTCCTGGTTTGCAGCGGGAGCAATGTGTGTGTTTCTGTTGGCCAAGGCTCGGTAGCTTAGAGGTTACGTGGTATTGACATCACATGAAAAGGTCTGGATAACTCAGTGTGTCAACAACTTATTTTAAAGGAAAATTCATCTATTGATATTAAAACAGAATGAGGTATTTCCACTCCTCCCACTTTCTACAGCTTTTTTCTGAATCCCAAACCAATCCTTGGTCAACCAATTGTTTTTCTTTTCATTCAATAGATATCTAATTCATTTCAAAGTGCAATAAAACGTGATTTTAATATAAATGTGAAATTAAATCTAGCTTACAATATTATAGCCTATTACTAATTAAAAGGAAATATTTTTGAAGTATAATCAATATCCCTGGTTGTAATAGCCAATTTATTTTCATCTCCTATCCCTTTGTTTTCTGTTCTCCGCAAGTTTTCCTTATTCTTTTGAATACAATACAAATACATCTCAAAAAGATGAAGCAGAAAA